CCCAGGACCTTCCGGTTACAAGGCAAGCTAGCTCGTATACCATTAAGCCACTGGGACCCGATTCCTCAATGGCCAGTGCATGAATTCTAACTTCTACCCATTCGTGATTTAGCGCGACCCCAACTATTGTCGATGGTGGAACATTCATTCTCACACGTGACATTTAATTGGACCTCACTGGTCACGACTTCTCACTAGAACTCCAGGAAACTCCATCCTGTAGCAAGTCACTAGCAAGCATCAGATTAATTTTCTAAAGTTTGGTTTATAAGGGTTAGTTTTGTTTTTACGAGTTGATCATGGATTGATATCAGTTACAGAACCATTGAAAACCAACACTGGAGTACTGGATTAAATCTGATGCACGCTAGTGACTTGCTACAGGACGGAGTTACATACAACATAATTTTTGAAAATTCTAGTTATTCAACACAAGCCTCATTAAGAATACATAAACACCTCGATTCTAAGTCACCACAACTTTCAACTAGATCCACGAGAGACTAGAGATTTTCATTTCTCTCTGTCTGTTTTCAACATAGAACTTTGCACAGATGTGCAGCAGTTCAAGTCGCCACACTCCCTCCTGGTAGCACAAAAATCATGAGAAGAAAGTACAAGAAATGCAAAAGAGAGACAGCAGACAGGGATATGAGACAAAACGAATAGTAATAACGAAGAACAACAGAGTTTTGTTGGACATTGTAAGTCACAAAGATTGGATGCATCTAACCGCACCAGTCATTGAGAACGATTCTGAGCCATATCACCAATTGTCTACAGTCTTCATTGGTGTCTACCATCCCGAGGACCTCAACTAGTCAGGAAGTCTTCACTTCCCTCCCTACGTGGCTGGCTGGCTACAACTAACTGTTGTTGATTTCATTGACTGATGAAGCCATGTTTTGATTTGACCACCACTGGCTCTTTTCCATCCTGACCCTATATCAGCCAACATTTCCTGTCAGTCGAGGAAGGCGATAACTAGGCATGCATTCGTAACATATGACCTAACTATCTCAGTCGATGTAGCTTCACAGCTTCGTCTGTTGATTTCTTCTCCCTCCTTACCTAGCACTCGAGGCCTAAACTCAATATTGTTCACCTTATTATACCACTTAAAACGGAAGATAGAACATAGGCACCTATGATCAAAGACAGCTATTCTTTTCATGTCTTCCACTCTCGATGACCATGTCTCACTCACAGCCATAAAGGAGGACGGCGCGGACTGCTGAGCAGTACACCCCCCCTTTGGTCAATAGCCGGATATCACGTCTACGCTGGAGATGGCGTAAACTGGTATATGCGAAACTAGCCCTCTGTAACCGTGCTGAAATTTCGTCAGAGATCAACCCGCTGGCATTGGCTGATGCAACTTCCCAAATAATAAGTGAAGTGGTCAAAGTTCTCTACCAATTCATTTCCCTATTTCTAAATTAGGAGTCAATGTAAAAGATTTTCATTTAGTATTCTTCACATAATCCTCTCCATGTCAACTTAACACGTCCAACACATAATTTCCCATTTTCGAGTTTCACTCAACAGACCAGTACCAGTGGGTGTAATGTCACTTCAAAGTCTCCTCAAAATAAATACAACTTATCTGCATTTCCTCCTACATATATTTGTTGTTTTTTGAGAAACTTCATGCATTTATTCCCCTTGATGAATTTGAATAAAGCAAGAACAACAACAACAGTTTTTGCAGAATACTATGGAACCATCACTTATTTCGTTGGCTTCTCATCATCTGCTTACAGCCTAAATAAATTATGAGGTTTGCGTACGGAAAAGTTTTAACACTCTGTATCTAACGCATATTTCGTCTTTATTACGTAACTCTTTTACCATTGTATGCATACATTTATTTTGTTTAAACTTGAACTGCCTGTGTAAAAACTACATAAGCGCAATCTTCTGAGCACTGTTCACTTATTGTGGAACTTTTTGTCAACTGACAACATGTAGAATTTGCAAGTATGTTAAAACTTTTCTGTACGCAAACCTCATAATTTATTTAGGCTGTAAGCAGCTGATGAGAAGCCAACCAAGTAGACAATGGTGGTACCATTTTATTCTGCACAAACCACTGTTGTTCTTGCTTTATTAAAATATATTTGTTGGATAGCATATCGCTGGCTGATTATTCAGCACCTTCCAGTGTCCTTTATCGTTTATTCTTTCTACCCTGACATCTGATCTTCAGTACAGACAGAAGGTGGCAGGTGTTTATGAAAAATGTTCACCTTGTTGGAAATGTCTTCTGACAACGCAAGCACTGACTTGATTGGCATTAATGCTGATCTTTCTTCTTGTACTGAGAGTACTGTAGTTCTCCGCTCTGATTTCATTTTTTTTATTCCTTCAAGTTCACAATGGAACACAGGGCTTCAAGCTGGAGGCTTGAAGTTTCTGAAGCAGTGTTTATTTTCACAGGATGGGGTTGCTAGCCTCATGCCCCCTAACCTTTCCTCTTTATCAGCTATTTTTTATTTCTAGCTTAGCGAGGTAAAGGAGTGCGTCGGCGGGGGATCGAACCCCGAACCATGTGCATGGTCGGCGAGAGTCCTAACCGCTATGCCACCACCGCACTCTGATTTCATAGTTTAATAGAAAGCCTGTCCGATTTTAGCATTCTCATCCATGCTGCGTGTATTTGAAACGATGCTGCCCAGTTTCATAATTGAGTAAAAGAATGCAGTCCATTTAGATCATTTGGCAGCACGTATTTTGTGTGATGAAAATAGTGTCAAGCACGAACCAACTAACTGACTAACCTTCTTTCCACTAGTGGTAAATAAACCATTTTCTCCATCCTTATTCCACCAAGTTTTATTGTTATTGTTCTCCCGATATTTATAATCCTCTCAGTTTTTTTGTTTATTTTCTCATAAGTGCAAACATCATTTAAGCTGTGTAATAACTGTTATTTTTTGTCTTTCCCATCACTATACTATACTCTATAACATGTTAAAATTTCCCAACTGAATCGACAATACTGTTTGAAAAAAACTCAATGTTATTATTATTATTATTACTGTATTTATTATTGCCATTTCGTACCTCAAATATTTTTGACTTTATTCCTACCATAAATGTGGACAAATTCCTCTGGTTAATTTTATTTATATTGCATCTAGTTTACAGCGTTGACCGCGAAGTAATTTGGAAACTACTCGAGTTCTACGGCGTACCCCAAGTATTCATCAACCTTATTCAACAGCTCTACGACAACGGCACATGTCAAGTGATCCACAACGGATAACTCAGCGAAGCGTTGGGGGTAAACACAGGAGTCAGACAAGGGTGCTTATTATCAACAATGATTTTCATAATTGTGGTGGACCGGATTATGCGTCAGACAATGGGAAACGAGAAGACAGGGATATCCTGGACCACCGACGTGAACCTAGAAGACCTGGATTTCGCGCGTGGATGATTCATGTTTGATGTCACACAAAATCGAAGACTTACAAGCGAAAACCGACAAACTGGTCGAAGAGGCTGGCAGCAAAGACAGGACTCCAGGTGAACATAGACAAGATGGAGGTTATGAAAATAACCAACCAACCAACAACAACAACAGCAGCAGAAACATCCAGCGCCAATCACAATCAACGGGAGGGATTTGAAAGAGGTTACTTCATTTACTTATCTAAGGAGCATTGTCTCAACTACAGGAGGAACGGACGAGGATGTCAAATCGAGAATCGGGAAGGCGCGAAACTCATTCATCAACCTGAAACCAATCTGGAAATCTTCGTCACTCAACTCAGCATCAACAACAAAATTCGGATTTTCAATACAAACGTCAAGTCAGTCAGTTCTATACGGATCAGAAACTTGGCGGGTCACAAACAATATTTATTTCCAACAGCCTGTTGCAGACCTTTATCAACAACAACTGCCTTCGCTCTATACTGCTGAAGATCAGATGGCCGGAAAGAATCACCAACAAGAAACTACGGGAGCAAACAAAACAAGAACCAATCGCCGAAGAAATATGCAGGAGAAAGTGGAGATGGATTGGACACTCACTGGCTGAGGAGGCCACTGGGTGACATCGCGCGTCAGGCCAACGCTCGAGTGGAACTCGAAAGGGAAGCGGCGAGTGGGACGTCCAGGGGTGACATGGAGGAGATCGTGTGAAGAGGAGTTGAAACAGTATGGACTAACATGGATGCAGGTGAAAAGTACAGCAGAAGAGAGAAGCAAGTGGAGGAGATGTGCAGTCGAAGCCCAACGCTCCACTAGGAACCCAAGGGAACAATAATAACAATAATAGATGCAATATTATGACAAATCCCGAGAATTCTATGTTGTATTTAAGTACTAATTTCGGAATAAAGTGGATTATTATTTTCAGTAGTTGGTTTGTAAGGATTAGATTTGTGTGTTTACGAGTTGATCATGGATTGATGTCATAGTTAGGGAACCAGCTATTTCGTCAACCTAGTTTGGGAATCATCGGCAGTACGCACCCCACAACAGGGGTTCGAACCCAGGACCTTCCGGTTACAAGGCCAGCAAGCCCGTAATACCATTCAGCCACTGGGACCCACCCGACTCAATGGCCAGCCCATGAATTCTAACTTCCATCAATTCGTGATTTAGCGCGACTGGCACCAACCAATGTCATCGATGGGGCATCCATCCTCACACTTGACTGGATGGCCCTCACTGGTCACGAATTCTCACCAGAACCCCAATGAAGTCCATCTAGTCAAGCGTGAGGATGTATGGATGACATTAGTAGGTGGTCGGGCTAAATCACGACTTAGTAGAAGGTAGAATTCACGGGCCGGTCATTGAGGAATCGCGTCCCAGTGGTTGAATGGAATACGAACTTGCTGGCCTTGACACAGGAAGGTCCTGGGTTCCAAACCCTCTGTTGTGGAGTGCGTACTGCCAATGATCCCTAAACTAGGCTGATGGAACTACTATCCAGTACTCTCTGGCTTTCAACAGATTATTACTATGGAAGCGATCTTTTCTGTTCAAATGAAATCAATCATAAACTTCAAAATAATTTTAAACTTTGATAAAATGTCATCAAGTTGATGTAGCATATCAAAGAAGATACAGTAATATCGATCAAGAGAACTTACCGATGAGCCGACAAATTTAACATAACATTCAACAGCTTTTGTTGCCATTGTATTCGATCGAAAAGCCATTGAATCATTTTCTAGAAAGTCAAAAAAAAGAAACATATTAGACTGATAAGTGAATCTGTTTGTGTGTGTGTAAGTGGAGAATGAATTTAATAGTCGACGAATAATGCTCTTGTCCACACCAAGTAAAATATTAAGTCACATCATCCTGGAGGGAATAAAAGATGCACTAGATGAAGAACTCCACCAGCAACACCGCAACAAGCTGGATTCAGGGAAGACAAATCATGTGCTGTTCGAATCACAGCTCCGCGCATCATCATCACACAGCAAAGCATAGAATGGCAGTCAAACCTGCCTCTACGTCAAATTCATCGACTTCGAAAAGGCATTCAACAGACAACGTTGACAGATAAGTAATTTGAAAACTACTTCAACACTGATGTGCAGTACCACAAATCTTTATCAACCTCATGCAACAGCTGACAAGATGACAATGTCACGTGTCAAGGCATCCAAAACGGAAAGCTCAGTGACGCATTTGAGGGGGAAACAAGAGTGGGACAAGATTGCCTACTATCACCCATGATGATATTCTTAATTGCGGTGGACTAGATACATCAGACTGTGCCTGAGAGCAAGAAGATACGAAAACGCAGACAGATAAGAATCCTCTAGATGATCTGGATTTCGCGCGTGGATGATTTACGTTCAATGTCACACAGACTTGAAAACTTGCAGGCAAAAACCAACAAACTAGTTGAAGAGGCAGGCATCCAAGACAGCAGTCCAGGTGAGCATAAAGAAGACAGAGGTGGTGAAGATAACCAACCTACAGCAACAGAAACAACAACAAACAGAACCAACCACTATCAACAGGAGAGATATGACAGAGGTCGCCTCCTTCACTTATCTACGAAGCACTGCTTCAATCACAGGCAGTCAGGAAGGATGAAGATATCAACACCAGCCAAGATCGGAAAGACAAGGCACGCCTTCATCAACCTGAAACCAGTTTGGAAATCTTCTATACTCAGCCTAAGGAACAAGATCCGCATTTTCCATACAAATGTAAAGTCAGTCAGTTCTTCGATATTGAAGATCAAATAACCAACCAGAAAGAATTAGTAACAAGAGAGTCTGACTGGGAACAAACCAACCAAGAGCCAATTGCTGAACAAATATGTAGGAGGGAGTGGAGACGGACCAGGCATACGTTGGGGAAACCATCAAATGACATCACGCTCAATGCAGGCGATTTCTAGATTAGAATTCCAATGGGAAACGACGAGTGGGTCGTCAATGCGACGGTGACATGGAGGAGATCGTGCGAGGAGATGGGAGATTATGGGAAATAGTGGACCCAAGTGAAGAGGAAAGCAGAAAGTAGAATAAAGTGGATAAGTGTTGTTGCAGCCCTATGTTCCACTCGGAATCCAAATAATAGTCAACGACTTCTGATTGTCATTAAGGTTTGATCATTATACTGTACCCGATAACCAAATAATGCAGAACAACCGTTTTGTTATATTACGTGACTATTCAATAGATTTATTAAAGTCTAAACAACCGCATACCTCAGCACTAACTGTCAATGATTATTTGACTGATAGAATCGACTAAGTAGACTATAAACGTAAATGCTAAACAGCTACAGGAGTTAGAAATTAAGGGATATTTCCAGTAAGTTAAAGTTTCAAAATGTACAAGGCATTTCAACTTAACGATCGAACGGTAATATATTGTAATAAGACATAACGGATATGGATTTCACAGTGAAAGGATATTCATATGAACTGGGATCAAGATTTGACTGATGACTGTAGTTGAAATGGTGCTTCCTAGCCGGATAAGTGAAGGAAGTAACCTCTGTCACATCTCTCCCGTTGATGGTGATTGGTGCTGATTGTTGCTGTTGTTGTCAGTTGGTTATCTTCATCACCTCCATCTTCTCTATGTTCACCTCCTGTCTTCAGTGCCAGCCTCTTCTGCTAGTTTGCTGGCTTTCGCCTGCTTGCAAGTCTTCTAATTTGTGTGACATGGAACATAAATCATCCACGTGCTAAATCCAGATCTCCTAGTGTCTTCTTATTGATGGTTCAACGTATGCTCTATCTCCTCGTTCCCAAGCAGTCTTCCACACAATCCAGTCCACCACATTTAGGAATATCACCAGTGATAACAGGCTGCTAGCCTTGTCTTACGCCTGTCTCCAATTCAAATGCTTCGTTGAGTTTTCCTCTGTGGATCTCCTGGCATTGTCATATAACCAGCTGTTGAATGAGGTTGATAAAAATTTGTAGTTATGCACGCCATAGTGTTGAAATAGTTTCCAAATTACTTCTTTGTCAACGTTGTCTGTTGAATGCTTTTTCGAAATCGGGGAAGTTGAGGCAGAGAGAAATCTAGAGCGAAACTTTTGTTCGGTGCTCTTCAGTTCTTAATAGCTTTCAGGCTTTTCTTCCGATTCCTTGCATTCAGAGTAGAACATAAGGCTTTAAGGCTGAACTTCTAAGTTTAAGTGACATCGCTAGCTGCACAATCAAGCTCCTTTCTTATCCATATTTACTCTACTCGAGTTTTCAGAATGTGTTGCGGTCGGGAATCAAACCAAAACCACTGTAGCATTTAAACCAAAAAGTACCAAAGATCTTCAAGTATTGATTTGTAAGGATTTGGTTGATTGGTTACAGGATTCCATCATGAGCTGACATTGGTTAGAAAACCATTGGAAAACCACCTGGGAGTACTGAACAGCTGTTTCGTCCTAGTTTGGGACTCTTCATCAGTATGCATTCACCGCGGTTCGAACCCAGGACCTTCTGGTTACAAGGTGAGCTCGTAGACGATTCAGCCACTGGGACCCGATCCATTGGCCAGCCCATGAATTCTTACTTCTGCCAATTCACGATATAGTGCAACCGCTAGCCAATGTCTTTGGTGGCGAGTATTTGTCCTCACACCCGACCTGATGCGCCCTACTGGTTATGACTTCCCACTGGAACGCCAGGTAACTACCTACCTGAATAGGGCCAGTCGCCAGTGAGCATCTTATTGATATTCAAGTATTGGTTTGTAGGGATTTGACTGATTGATTGGTTACAGGATTTTCATCATGAGCTGACATCAGTTAGAGAACCATCGGAAAACCTGGACAGCTGTTCTCTAACCAATGTCAGCTCATGATGAAATCCTGTTACCAGAGATCTGTTTCTTCCTAACTCGGAGCTCCTCTGTTACACACACACACACACACCAATAACCCACCACAACCGATAGGAATCGAACCCACAGCCTTCAGATTACACGCAGGCTAGTGCGCTTGTTAAGAATTCTAATCACTGGGGACTGGATTTTCGGTGTAGTACGACACAGTTTAAACTTTATGCGCTTGATTTGACATCATAAATAACAAGAAGAGATAATTTTTACAAAATATTTCACATTAGTGTGTATTCTTTCTTCCCTCATCATCACCTTCTTCTTTTCGAATGCCTAAATAATCAATATTCATTCTACTGACACTGTGTGCATGTGTGCCTGTGTGTGTGTGTGTGTGAAGATGTAAGGGAAAACGCTGAAAGTATTTTTCAGATGCATGGAAAAAAGAACTGGCTTTCTCTTGATGTAAGATATACACATACGTATCTACATAAGCGGGCATAAATCTCATGCGTTTATCTGTCATGTGTATACACATGTATTAAATTACAAAATGCGTGTTCAATTCTGACAATATAACTAAACACTATGATCGAGTAAAAATGTGTAAAGTGGTGTGAACCGAACCAGAGCAGTTTAAGCGAGTGAGAGTGAGGAAAAGAGGGTAGGCAAGAGAGGTAGAGTGCAAAAATGAAACAGGCGATACACTACAAAGTATTAATAACAACAACACCACCACCACCACAACCCCCACTACCAAAAAAACATGAATTATGCAATTCCAGGAATCAAGTTTCACTATAGTGTGTGTTATTCTCTACCTACATAATATATTATATTTAGGTACATAAATAGATAAACACAAAATACAATGTATTATATTATGTAATTATAGATTATTAACCTTTCTTGTGGCTTACTTATTTCGGTTTCGGATAAATGAAAATAGTTCATGTGAATGAATGAATTCACATAGAATTTCATCAGGTGATTTCACTAGTTATCTAATCTCCATAATATACTTCCTCTATCTAATCCGCAAGGCAGCGGAGCAGCGTCAGGTGCTGCGTTCCCATGGTTGCCGGTGACCCGTATGGGTTCATACGCCATTTGATCCGATTGGATTCTGGAGATCATGTACCCCATGGTAACTGCTTTTAGTCTAACCGCTACCCAAACAACTTTCCTGACATGGTAGGACCTGCAGGGACATGAGTCCCAGCCAGTTTAGCTTGTTGGGTACACCTTTCTAACTAAGTGAATTGGTTAGCTCTTCAATTTTGATTGGACAGCTGTTCCATCCTTGTTGTTGGGACTTCTCTACATTAATACGCACCTATGACTTCCAACAGAGGCTTTTCTTTGTCTTATTATAATAACATTATTATCATTATTCCATTGGGCCTCAACAGCACATCTATGTTTCGTCCTGTTTTCTGTGACCTTCTTCATCTGGTGTCACGATTGCCCATAATCTCTCACCTCCTTGCCACACTTGATCTCCTCCATGTAACCCTCAATCTCAGCACGAATACAGAGGGCTAGTTTCGTATATGCCAGTTTACGCCGTCTCTCGTTTAGTAGACGTGATATCCGACTATCGACCAAAAGGCGTGTGTACTGCTCATCAGTCCGCTCCATCCTCCTTTATGACTGCCAGTGAGACCTGGCCATTGAGAGTGGAAGACATGAACAGGCTAGCTAGCTGTCTTTGATCATAGGTGCCTGAGTTCTGTCTCCCGTGTGAAGTTGTATAATAAGGTGAGCAATACTGAGGTTAGGCGTCGAGTGCTAGATAAGGCGGGGAAATCAGTCGACGAGACTGTGAAGTTACATCGACTGAGATGGTTAGGACATGTGTTACGCATACATGGCTATTCATCGCCTTCCTCGACCAACGGGTAATGTTAGCTGATATAGGGCCAGGCTGGAAAAGAGCTAGCGGCGGTCAAACGAAAACTTGGCACCAGTCAATGAAATCCCCAACAGTTAGTCTAAGTCACGTAGGAAGGTGTAGACTTCATGGTTGGGGTCCTCGGGACGGTAAACTCCAATGGTTGGAAACAATTGGTGACATGGCTCAAAATCGTTCTCAATCGCTAGTGCAGATGTATCCACTCCTTGTGACTTATGATTTCCAATGAAACTGTTTTGTTCTTCGTTATTTCTATACCTTTGTCTCACACCTCTGTTTACTGTCTATATTATGCATTTCTTCTACTTTATTCTCTTGCTTTGTGTGCTACAAAGAGGGAGTGTGGCGACTTGAACTGCCGAACATCGGTGCAAGGTTCTATGTCGAAAACAGAAAGACAGACAGACAGACAACCCTCGCATTGACGACCCAATCATGGTTTCCCCCTTCGGGTTCCACTCAACCGTTTCCTCAGTGGCGTATTATGCCCGATCCATCTCTATTTTCTCCCACATATTTGTTGAACAACAGATGTTCTTGGTTGATTTGTTCCCAGACAGAGTTTCTTGGTAATAATTTATTCTGGCCGGCCGGCCAGCTGGCTGGCCATTTGATCTTCAGTATGGAGCCAGCCAGTGAAGTGGGCAGCTGTTGATACAAGTCTGCAGTAGAGCATGTTGGAAATGCTTTACGTGACTCGCCCGTCAAGTGACCGACTTCACACTTTTGTGTTGAACAGAATCCGAATCTTGTTCTTTATGCTGGCTGAGTTGGAGTGCAGAAGATTTCTAAACTGGTTTCAGGTTGATGAAGGCATGTCTCGCCTTTACAATTCTGGTTTTATAGGGAATAAAAAGACAGTTGCAGCTAAGAAAATTTTCTTTTCCACGAAGTCATCATCTAGGCTGTACATTCGTGTATTTATATCAAATGGATGGGAAAATTCCAGAATAATTTCCGGTTAAGGGTCAAATTAATAAAAATTACAATTAGGAATTAGAATGCCATAATAAACAGGGGGATGGGTAAAACTCAAACAAAGTAGCATAATAACTAAGAAAATTGACATTGTGCAATTGGGGGTTAGAAATGTAGAAATAACAAAATAGACAGGATGTTTGGATAAAAAACTAGTGTGATGAATAATTGTTTATGCAATCAGGGATTAAATATGTAGAAATAGTAAAATGAAAAAATAAACAGGAAGTGTGGATATGAAAATATGGTAGTGTAGACAGGGATTAAGAAAACTTAAAATGACATGAATAAAGAGGAAGTTTAGATAAGAAAGGCGATGGGATGGTCATTATTACATTATTCTGGAACTTTCCCATCTATTTGATATAAATACACGAATGTACAGCCTAGATGATGACTTCGTCGAAAAGAAAATTTTCTTCGCTGCAACTGTCTTTTTATTCCCTATGATCAAATTCTGGTTTTGACATCCTTATCGTTTCCGCCCTAAGTTGCCACGATGATGCCTGGTTAGATAACTGAAGGAAGTACCCTCTTTTGAATTTCTTGCCTTGATAGTGATTGGTGCTTATTGTTGCTGTTGTTGTTGATTGGTTACCCTCAATTATTATCCTATAGGGGTTTATTCGTTCTGCATAACATCATATTCAACGGTTATTTGGGTACGCTGAATACAGTTATTATTAATAATTCCTCCACGTTCCCAGTAGAACATAGGGCTTCAAGCTGGAGGCTTGAACTTTCGATAGCAATGTTTATTTTTACAGGATGAGGTTGCTAGCCTCATGCTGCCAACCTTTCCTCTTTACCAGCTATTTTTTATTTCTGGCTTAACGAGGTGAACGAGTGCGTTGGTGGCCGGAGATCGAACCCCAGACTATTTACATGGTCGGCGAGCCTACTAATCGCTGTGCCTCCGACGTGTTAAATACAGTATTATTCCATTTATGTGATAGTGAGTGACATCATTAGGCTAAGTGTGGCGTCATATGAAAACAAACTCAAGAGAATGTTATTTCGGTGGTGGATAGTGACTAATAGTGTGTAATTTAGGATGCACGTTTCGCGCCTATTTAGCACTCATCATCCGGATGTATCTCCATTCCTAATGAGACGCAAAACCTACTTAGCCATCTTTTCAAACGCCAAAGGACGTTATCCACTAGACTTCCTGTCACCATCAGCCAAAATATCGCCCCCCCCCCATATTGATCCTCACAAGTCGTCGAAACATCCGTACTGAAAGCCAACATGTCAACATGTGAGTCCACCACAATCACCAAACAGGGAATACAAATTAATTGCCACCCCCACCCCAGCAAAAAAAGAAGATTAAAAGAAATAATAGAGAAGATTTGTAGCTCAGGTGGGTGATTTGCAATTAATAGTGTTCTCTGAGCTGGTTGGCTTGGTTGCGGAGCTTTCGTCGTCCACCTTCTGGACAACATCCCCCTTCAGCACAAGTTTTTAGCATAAAGTGAACTGATTTAAATTTCTTCATGAGTGATATAATTGCGTCTCCCGGTAACCATCTTTACATATGTATTGACCATTTTCTATTGACTTCGATTTTAAACTTTCTGGTCACCTGATTTACTTTTTATTAGTTGGTATATTTCGTCTATTTTAACATGTTTGTTAATTGCATTTTCGTTTGAGTAGCAGGCTTCTAGGAATTCCCTGCTTGCACTTTTGGTGTTTCCTCTGTCTAAGATTTCGACATTATCCCAATCAATCCAATCCAGAAGGACGGCGAAAGCTCCGTAACCAAACCAAACAGCTCAGAGAACACTATTAATTGCAAAGATTAAAAGAAATCAAAGAGGGCGGGGAAGGGATTCAATGAAAAACAACTCACCGAGATTAGAAACTTCTCGTACAACAAGATTAGTTAAAAAATCGATCAGTGTATTATTGTGTTCATGTAAACAAACCAGAGAATTGGCAATCTCTTCTTTGAATTTTACAGATAATAAAGATTCTAACCATTTCGTAAGTAATAAACTATGACTAAGTATAAGCTGAAAAATAATAAAATCAATAAACACGACATTAAAAAGGTTAAATGTTTGTGAAGGATATAATTCAAGGTGAAATTCTCCACATAAACTACAATACGCGATGACACATGAAGTAAACAAAACCCTCAGACATCTTAATTATTATCATTATTATTTCCTTTAATTCCTAGAGGAACATAGGACTTCAGCCGTGCGTCTCCATTGAGTTCCCTTCTCTGCTACAGTCTTCACCTGGCTCCATGTCTGCCCACACGTTTTCATCTCCTCTTCACATGACCTCCTCCAAGTCACCCTTGGACGACCAACTCGCCGCTTCCCTTTCGGGTTCCACTCGAGCGATGACCTGTCGTGTGATGTCACTTGATGGTTTGTTTCCTCAGAGTATGACCAGCCAATCCATCTCCATTTCTTCCTGCCTATTTCTTTCACAATCGGTTCCTGCTGTGTTGGTTCGCTCATTGCCACAGATCGCTCCTTGTTGCTGATGTTTTCTGGCCGGCCATCTGATCTTGAGAGATGTATTGAGCGAAGACAACTGTTAATGAAGGTGTGTAGTTTGTTTGAGATGCTCTTTATGACGCGTAGTGCAAGTCTCTGATCCGTATGGTAAGTGGCACTGACTTCACATTGGAGTTGGAAATCCGGATCTTATTTTTGATGCTGAGAGTTGTTGACCTCCACACAGACTTGAGAGAAATGGAAGCTTGTCTTGGTTTTCCGATTCTTGCTTTGATATCCTCGTCAGTTCCGTCCGTCTGTAGTTGAAACGATGCTTCCCAGGTAGGTAAAAGAGGTTGTTTCTTTCAGGTTCCTTCCATTTATGAGCTCTTTTAACATCAATCAATCTTGTCAGTCAAGAGTTTTTGAAATCGTTCATAGTCATCTGAATTTTAACTAACTATATGTGAATCGATGTGTGTGTGTCGGTGGTCTAGGGTTCGACTCCTGACCGTTGCACTTCTAAGCAACATTTAACCAGTAGTAAAGTCCATTAAGGAGGGAAAGTTCGGTGTCAGGTTGTGGTGAGAGCTGACTGCTAGCCGAAAATTGGTAGACAGTAATTTACGTCAATGTTTACGTCGACAATATTGGTCATGAGAAAAGAACAAGAACAAAGACTGATTCAACAATCAACCACAACAGAATTCGCGTAAGCGGATACAATTTGCAGATAGATAATCTGAACTTCAATACACAGCCACAAAGAGATGAAAGATTAACTTTCAGTGAGAATCAACCAATCAGGAGACAGTGTTTGTTTGCTTACAATAATCTATAATAATGTACATGAAAATCTATAAATACGTGTTGATTTCCTAAATAAACGATCTGTTGCTTAGCCCTTGTCTTCTGTTGTTACATTTGGTGTCGCTGCGTACCGACAAATGAAAAGCCTATACCCTGCAGTTTTTGATGGAGACATATGGATCTTCGGGCAGGAATTCGAAGCTTCTGCGTGGTTGAGTGGCGTTCAAGATCAGTCAGCGATAAGGCTGTTACTTGGAACGCTGCTGGGAGGTCGGGAGAAAGCAGCATATAAAAGTGTGAGGTGAAATACCGACGAATGTGCGACAGGGTCAGGCAAACAGTTTCCAAAGTGGGAAGGACCACATATGGTCACGTTGAGATGGGGTTACGCAGACACAATCACAATGATGAACGAAGAGAAACAGGTGAACATCAGCGATGCCGAGATCGCACACAGCAAGGCAAACGAACAAAGGCCCTAGAAACAAGAAGACCAAACCAACATCAGTCACAAGTCTTTGACGGGGGGACGAGTATGGTGAGAGCTGGCTGCTAGCCAAAATTGGTAGACAGAAATTTACACGTCAATATTTACATCCCATATCTTGGTCATGAGAAAAATAAGAACAAAGACTGATTCAACAACCAATCACAGCGGACTTTGCGTAGGCGGATGCAATTTGCAGATAATATAATCTGAACTTCTATAAACGGCCACAAAGAGATGAAAGATTAACGTTCAACGAGAAACCATCAGTCAGAAGACTGTGTTTGTTCGCTTTCAATAATCTATAATAATGTACATTAAAATCTATAAATACGTGTTGATTTCCTCAATAAACGATCTGTTGTCTGGCCCTTGTCTTCTATTGAGTTAGTAACCTCATCCCGTGAAAAAAAAACACCACCTACTACTGGAAAGCTTCAAAACTCAAGTTTCTTGAAGCCCCCTATATTCCATTTAGAAGGTAAAGAAATGAAGGAAGGAACAAATGTGAATCAATAAGTGGAATATGGAATGAAATTAAATTTTTTTATATGCAAATCATACTACATTTGAGATAGAAATTTCACTTTCGTCTATCGCTTCAAACTATATGTAATGATGTGGGTTTAGACATGAGATTGGAGGATAGGTGACATTAACTACTGAATTCATATAAGTAATATGGAATCGGTGATTCAGTGGTAGAGCCAAGCCATGGGTCAGACTTCAATTCCAGACGTCAACACACTACTATATTATAACCTCGTCTAGTTCACTAGACGTCAGTCAGCAAACGCGGAGAGGAATGAGAAGGTATGGCATGACGTTTTCAACCCCATCATCTCATGAAAAAGAACAGTAACCACAATATTGAAATTGGTTACAGGATTTCATCATGAGCTGACATCAGTTAGAGAACCATTAGGAGTACTTACTGCCAAGCAGCTGTTTCGTTAGCCTAGTTTGGGACTCTTCATCAGTACGCACACATCATGGGGGGGATCGGAACCCACGACCTTCTAGTTACAAGGTGAGCCATTAAACCCGATCCAGTGACCAGCCCAGGAATTCTAACTTCCGCCAATTCACGATATAGCGCGACCACTAGCTAATGTCATCGGTGGCGGCGTGTATTTGTCTTCACACTCGACCTTCTGTACCCTACTGGTCACGACTTCCCACTAGAACCCCGGAACTAGAACTACCTACCTGAATAGGGCAAATAGCTAGTGAGCATTTCATTGATATTCAAGTATTGGTTCGTAGGAATTTGATCGATTGGTTACAGGATTTCGTCTTGAGGTGATATCGGTTAGAGACCTATTGGAAAACCACCACCAGGCAGGGATGGAGTACTGGACAGCCAGCTATTTCGTCAGCCTAGTCTGGAACTAACCCTTCAGCAGTACGCACCCACCACTAATGTAACTTCAAAGCTTCAAGACCTACGATCCATTCTGAATATTTGTTAAAAAGTGCACTTACTGACTGAGTTGAATAATTCGATGGAATACTAATGAGAACCCCGATATGCAAACATACTTATCTTTATTACTGTTAATTTTGCTTAGCTTTCCTACCATGCACACACAATGCAATCGATTGAAAACTTAACAGTGATGACAAAAGATTATTATTTCTGTGAAGAATACAAAGCGTTTCAAACTGCTCTATATTCGGCAGAATTATATTATTATTATTATTGTTCCCTTGGGTTCCTAGTGGAACATAGGGTTTCAACTACACGTCTCCACTTGCTTCTGTCTTCTGCTGTACTTTTCACCCGCATCCATGTTAGTCCATACTGTTTCAACTCCTCTTCACATGATCTCCTCCATGTCACCCTTGGACGTCAAACTCGCCGCTTCCCTTTCGGGTTCTACTCGAGCTATGGCCTGATGCGCGATGTCACCCAACGGCCTCCTCAGTGAGTGTCCAATCCATCTCCACTTTCTCCTGAATATTTGTTGAGCGATTGGTTCTTGTTTTGTTTGTTCCCATAGTTTCTTGTTGGTGATTCTTTCCGGCCGGCCATCTGATCTTCAGTATAGAGCGAAGACAGTTGTTGTTGATAAAGGTGTGCAACAGGCTGTTGGAAATATTCTTTGTGACACATTGGCCAAGTTTCTGATCCATCCGTATAGAAGAACTGATTGACTTGACGTTTGTATTGAAAATCCGAATTTTGTTGATGATGCTGAGTGACAAAATTCGGCAGAATTGCAAAATCTTAAAACCAGCACCACTCAGCCTAATGCGTATTTTGAAGACCATGAGTAGTAATCAACTTTTTTCCGCTTTATTTGTTTTTCAGGGGAAATTGAAGAATATCACGCTTATATCCACACCATTAGATAACACTAACTAATGTTAATGCTGGCTTTTGCCCAGGTGGTTCAATGTCAGAATGCTATCCAACCTCGCGGAAGTCCCGAGTTCGATTCTTAAACCTCCCGTAGTATACTTGCATCCCCCCATGCAGATGAGAATGAGTCACACCTACTATGTGCTAGGGCAACAGATTGTATATTGAGAAAATCAACAGATATTTATCGATTTTTATGTACATTATTGTTAGCGTTATTGTTAGCAGAGAAGCAACGTCTTCTGATTGGTTGTTTTCCTTCTCTAGGTTATTCTGTCATCTCTTTGTGGCCGTTTCTTAGACAGTCCGTTGATATATATCTGCGAATCGTATCCACCCACGCAATGTCTGCTGTGATTGGTTGGTGAGTCAGTCTTAGTTCTTGTCTTTTTCTCATGACCAAGATTTGTGACATTGTAAACATTGACGTGTAAATTGCTGTCTACCAATTTTGACTAACAGACAGCTCTCACCACAATACCACTACCGGTAACTCTAAACTAAAGCAGCCCAAACCGAAACTACCTAACGAACGGACAAATGACCTTGAGCAACCAATCAGGTGGTGACTCTGCATTATCCAGGCGCACTTATTGATGCTGTACAACTTTTGCGTTGCAAATTCGCTCCACGCCTTGTTTTTGATTACTGTTTGGAGAACGGACTGATAGGAAGGTCGAAAAAATGCCAATGTGGAGGTGTCATGCATATACAAAGATACACTAGATGCATCGATGAGTTTGGTTACAGATGCAATGAGTGCCGAACCAGAAAATCAGTTCGAGAAGGTATGGCATTCTTTTTTTAGTTTACAGATTCCTCAGGGCCTTTTTTTAGCGAAGTCAAAATTACCTCTAACGAAAATTTTAATGATGTGTCATAACTGGATGCTTAAAAGACCAGTAACAGCAACAGCACACGAATCAGAAAATTCAGAAGTGTCTGCAGTGCAATGGTACCAATACTGTAGAGACATAGCATCACGGGAAAATGAACAGGCTGACTCAAGTACTTGGTGGAGTTGGCGTCATTATTCACGTGGATGAGACGGTGTTGATAAAAAGAAAATATAATCCAGGGAGATTAAGTGCAAACCAGCAGTGGGTGTTGGGCATATATGACACCACCCTTAACAAAAGGGATACATTGAGGCGATCCTTAATCGCAGTACAGATGTCTTATTGCCTATTATCCAACGCTTAGTGCTGCCTGGAACAACTGTTCATACAGATGAATGGGCCATATTCATTACATCGTTAACCATACAAATGATTTCATCAATCCTTTCGAAGGAACTCACACTAATTCCATCGAAAGTTTTTGCAGTCAGCTCAAAAAAAATGGATCAGATCTGTGAATGGATCAAGAAATGCAATGATTTAGCAGTTATCTTGATGAGTTTATGTACAGGACATGGTTTAACATAAGCATCAGGCCTCCTATGAGAAATCGGGAGGTTTTTTTAGAACATATACGTGAACATTATCCCTTGTAGCTATTTTTTAACATTGCATTACTTTTATAATTATAATTACTTTTATATAAACCAGTTATTAAAATTATGCGCCATTTTTATAGAGACTTCTCATGCAATCGAAAAGGAACAAGTTGACAGAAGAAGCATCAAAGATAGGACTTCAGGTGAACATAGAGAAAACAGAGGTGATGAAGATTCCTGAACAAGAACAAGAACAACAGACAACGATCAGCATAAATGGGCGGAACCTGAAAGAAACAACCTCTTTTACCTACCCACCTACCTGGGAAGCATCGTCTCAACTACAGGCGGACGGAACTGATGAGGATATCAAAGCAAGAATCGGAAAAGCAAGACAAGCTTTCACTACTCTTAAGTCTGTGTGGAGGTCAACAGCACCATTCAGCATCAAAAATAAGATCCGGATTTTCAACTCCAATGTGAAGTCAGTCAGTGCTACTTGCTATACGGATCAGAGACTTGGCCAGCGCGTCATAAAGAGCATCTCAAACAAACTACAGACCTTCATTAACAGTTGTCTTCGCTCAATACTACTCAAAATCAGATGGCCGGTCAGCAACAGAGATCTCTGGCAATGAGCGAACCAACCCATCAGGCACCGATTGTGAAACAAATAGGCAGGAAGAAATGGAGATGGATTGGCTTGTCATACTCTGAGGAAACAAACCATCAAGTTAGATCACTAGACAAGCCATTGCTCGAGTGGAACCCGACAGAATAGGAAGCGGCGAGTTGGTCGTCAGTGCAAGGGTGAGGGTGACTTGTAGGAGGTCATGTGAAGAGGAGATGAAAACGTGTGGGCAGACTTGGAGCCAGGTGAAGACTCTAGCAGAGAACCGAACGCAATGGATGGAGCCCAATTTTCCTCTAGGAATTAAAGGAAACAATAATAATAATTACTTTTATATAAACCAGTTATTAAAATTATGCGCCGTTTTTATAGAGCCTTCTCATTGGTTAAAGTTGTCGTTGTCAAGGTCATTTGTCCGTTCGCTAGGTAGTTTCGGTTTCGGCTGCTACCTAGTCCCCAAAACCTCAGGAAGAGGAGGAGGAGCAGAGCGGTTCGAACGCGTGACCTAGTTGGTAGTTGGAATTGGAACGAATGCCTGAATTGATGAATCATAGCATAGTTAACCAATCATTAGTAAGCTCAGCGGTATGTTCGAAATTGGTGACATTTTTGCACGTGTTTGCTCTGATATTCATTTACTGCTTATAGTCATATAATCCTTGAAATTATGGTCAAAATCTCTAAAAAAACGTGTTCAAAGAAACACAATTGTTTTAGATAGTGGCTCAACCTCGAGTATAACTGCATTACCACCCTGTATTACAGCATTAACTACTAGCTCACAAAATGGCTTGAGTGCAATTCTCACTCCTGTGATACAGGTGATGTTCTGCTAGAGAACTCTGAGTTCTGTAAATTAAATCTCCTTGTGAAAGATATCCAGAGGCAAGTAAGTGAACTTCAGGAAAAATTAGGTCAGTTTGATAGCATATCACTGCCAGTCTCAAATATCACGGAGAGCCATTCTGGATGTAACTCAAAACAAGCTTGCGGATTTAGACCCAATAGCCTGTCTGCTAAGAAAACATCCTAAAATGTCTCCAGACATCCTAAATACGGCTGAAAATCTGATTGACTGCTTGGCTGCGGAGGTGATGAAGCGTATAACCTCTTCTCACCAGGCTATAGTTTACAACGTCCCAGATTCTCTGCCTCTGAAGACTGTAAAACACAAAATCCTGATTTGTTGCGGCATGGCTAGTGTTCCATGTGAATGCAAAAGACTTCGTAAGAAGTCTAACCAAACTAATTGTCCCATCATTTTTAAATTCAGTAATTCCCTTGATTCTAGTAAGTTTACTAAATGTCAGGATCACCTAAGACTGAATAGCAGTTATAAGTCTATAACCATAGCGTGCTCAGGATAAAACACCGTGTCAGCGCAGAATAATGCGTAGTAATAACCTGGTCACCTCCTCTAGCTTAGATTTACCAAAAAAAGGATCGTGCACAGCAACAGTCACCTAATGCTGACATTAGCATTCAGCAAACTACACAACAACCACGCTTGCCAATGGAACTAGGAACTGATTTAGATACCAGTACCCCTGTAAATAACTTCTCGCCGAAAGATGTTAAAATAGGTAGAACTGCTGCAAGCTGTTCTAAGAAATTCTTACCCAAACGTGGTAACCTCACCACGATGAACAAATTTCGCCGGGTTGAGACTAATGATGGGGAAGAATACTTTGTATTCAATAAGCTTGCTGAGAGTAAGACTATCCACAAACCCTCACCTGTTACGAAAAACTCCTCTCGAAACACAAGTACATCTGGAGGTTTTCGGCATGCCCCACCTTATAGAAAGTCAGGGAAGCTTGAACGCGTAAAAAAACAACACTACGGAGTTCATCCAAAATGCAAGGAATAAGGAAACAAAAAAGGTGATGACACATATTAGAAAAACAACTAACTGTTCTTAGCGGCCAATAATTGCACAACGGTAGTATTCCAAGTGATTGATAACGTGCACGAATACGTAGTTGGGGTAAATGTCGTTGATCTGCAGCAACTCCAGTACTGCCACCAGTGTTAGTATTATTACTAACACTATTATTATTACTACTAATATTATTACTATTGTTGTTGTTGTTCATTGTTCTACTAGAATTCAATCTACAAGCAGCAGACTGATGATTATTCTCCGTGTAAATCATCGTACCAAGGTGATTGAGAAAGTTATCTTGACTTGAAGTATTCTCAACTGTTGGCGGTTGTAGTGTTAGCCAAGTTTGAATATCTGTTCGACTGGTTATTTCAGATATGGGAATAGTAATATAGCCTGAAAATAAGTGGAAACAGGTATCTTATTTGGGGTCACAGATAAGGTTACTGATAAATATTTAGATAGAAGGGACGGTAAAAACCAATGGTTGGAAACAATTGGTGACATGGCTCAAAATCGTTCTCAGTGGTGCAGATGCATCCACTCCTTGTGACTTATGATTTCCAATTAAACTGTTTTGTTCTCCGTTATTACTATTCCTTTGTCTCACACCTCTGTTTACTGTCTCTAATATGTATTTCTCCCACTTTCTTCTCTTGCTTTGTGTGCTACACTGAGGGAGTGTGGTGACTTGAACTGCCGCACATATGTGCAAAGTTCTATGTCGAAAACTGACCGACCGACCGAGATAGAAGGTTTGTAAAGACGTTAAATATGCATAAATATCACAATAAACACACAATATCAGATAAATTAAGCAAGAAGTTTTTGAATTTATAAGTTCCACAGTGAGTCAAGGTAGCTATAGTGGTTCCAACTGTTTCTTCTACACGCAGAGCTCCTGGTGTTTTAGGCGAATTGCATTGGCCTATGTTTTTTAGAGTATTTGGTCCCTACAGGCGTTTGACAATTTATGTAGTACTCGATAAATGATAGAAATCGATCGATAAATACTGACGTTTTGGCCTGTGTTTGGACCAGGTGATCTAATATTGAATTTGTTGATGGATATTTTACACTATACCCACTGTCCCCATTTCTATTTAATTTCATCATACATATTGTACTAATGGACTTAACCCTAACTGCTGACTTCAGCGATTCAGGGATTGACTTGTTACCACCAGGGAATAAGCTCGTTGACTTAGAAATATGTAGATGATATAGTCCTTCTAGATGAAGATGCTGACAAAATACAGTAGAGTCTTCTGAACACATTGACAGGCAGCAATCTTAGAATGTTTGGCATGCCACTATCTCCCGTCAAATGTAGGATGATGAGGCTACAGGACTGGACGAAATAGACTCACTCCTAGCCTAAAGATAGACAGAAGTGAAGTGGTTGGTAGAGCGTGTTGACCACTTCACTTATTTGGGAAGTTGTATCAGCCAATGTTGAACGCTGACGAAATCTCCTCACGGATACAGAAGGCTCGTTTGGCATTTATCAGCCAACTAACGCCATCTCTGGCATAGTAGACGTGATATCGATTGATTGATTTCCCCTCCTTACCTAGCACCTGGCTGTGAAGCTGCATCGACTGAGATGGTCAGAACATGTGCTACATATGCCTAGTCATCGCCTTCCTCGACTGACGAGCAATGTTAGCTGACATAGGGTCAGGCTGGAAAATAGCCAGCCAGCGGTGGTCAAACCAAAACATGGCTTCATCAGTCAATGAAATCCACAACAGTCAGTTTAAGCCAGCCAGACAGCCAGTCACGTAGGGAGAGAGGTGTAAACTGCCTGACTGACTGATTGAGGTCCTCGGGGTGGTAAAAACCAATGAAGGCTGGAGACAATTGGTGATATGACCCAAAATCGTTCTCAATAGCTGGCACAGTTAGATGCATCCACTCCTTGTGACTTATAACATCCAATAATTATGTGATAGTGACATCATTATGCTAAGTGTGGAGTCACATGAAAACAAAATCAAGAGAATAATATCCAGTACACATCTGATCTCAATATTCATAAAAATGCTTACCTGAACTTGTACTGCATTACTGATATCATTGTGACAAATATCTTAAATGAAGTTAATTTTACTTGCTAAAATTAAACTGAGATATTCAATAGAAGCATTTAAGCTGACAATCATAGACCTGTAATCTTTATTGTATTATTTTATTTTTGTTTTAGTCCTTTGCGTTCCTAGTGGAACATATAAGGCTTCAAGCTAGAGCTAGCGAGTTTCGGTAGCAGTGATTTTAATTTTACGGCAAGCAGAGGGGGAGGGGAGGGTTTGCTGGCTTCACGCTATGCTTCCCTTCTTTACCAGGCGAAATCTACCGGCTGAGCGAGATTGAGGAGCGCGTTAGTCGATGATCGGACCTCGGACCAGGTGAGGCGTAGTTGACAAGCTTTCTACCTTTGAATCACCGGTGCACAGAGCGTGTTTCGTTGTAGTAGGCACGTGTCGTGGAATAGAGTATGAAGAAGCGTGTGACTGGAGTGAATTTTGTGCGTCTTAGTTTCAATGTAGAACTATTCACAAATATGGACCAATTTCAATTGCCACACTCCCCTACTTGGTACCACACAAAGCAAGAGGAGAGAGTAAAGAGCGATTCGAAAACAAAGACAGTTAAGAGAGATATGAGGCAAAAAGAACAGTGTTATGGAAGAACAGTATGGTTTTATTGGATATTATAAGTCACAAGGAATGGATGTATCTAACCGCACCAGCCATTGCGAACTATGGTTTTGAGCCATATCACCAATTGTCTCCAGCCTTCATTAGTTTTTACCATCCCAAGGACCTTGACCAGGAAACCAGTCTACACCTCCCTACGTGACTGGCTGGTTGGCTTAAAGTAACTGTTGTGGATGTGATTGACTGATGAGGCCATGTTTTGATTTGACCACCACTGGCGAACTCTTTTCCAACCTGACTCTATGTCAGCTAACATTGCCCATTGTCGAGGAGGGCGATGACTAGCCATGCACGCGTAAAAAGTATCCTAACCATCTCAGCCGATTTAACTTCACAGACTCGTCGATTGATTTCCCCTCCCTCCCCCGCACAACAAAACAGATGATAACAATCTGTCTAGATAAACAAGTCAAACGATTAAGAGACATAGATCACAACTATTCTCCCCCATATTCTCATTTCATTCACAATACGAATAGCATCAAACTAAAAAACAACCGGTTAAATTAACCTAGAATGAGAGAAAATCAATATTTCAATCAATATCTTTTAAGTTCCACACCCAACAAAAATGACCAGAGAGTTGTTAGTGGGATTTATATCGTCAAACGATTTTATAGAATACTTTTAACAGCTATAAACACAATATATAGATATCAACATACTACAAGTGCATCAGTGGCACAGCTGTAGAATGTTCGCCAACCATGCCTCATGTGGTTCGGGGTTCGATCCCCGGCCACCGACTCACTTCTTTACCTCACTAAGCCAGTAATTAGACTGGTAAGGGTTGGGTATGAGGCTAGCAACCCCATCCCGTAAAAGTAATAAACACCACTGCTACCGAAACTTCAAGTCTGTAGCTTGAAGTCCTATGTTCTACTGGGAACGTAAAGGAATAAAAAAACATACTACAAATTCTTTATACCCTTTTGAACCTCGAGTGAGTGATGAATTTACTCAATGCTTCAAAAACACACTACGCTTATGAATTCCAAGAAAAATGAAACCTCAGTAGCGTAGGATTTCATCATACCGATTAACTCTACTGTGGTGAGAGCTGTCTGCTAGCCAAAATTGGTAGACAGCAATTTACGTCAATGTTTACATCCCATATCTTGGTCATGAGATAAAAACAAGAACAAAGACTAACTTAACAACCAATCACAGAAGACTTTGCGTGGGCGGATACGTGGTCTGACCTTCAAACATACGGCCACAAAGAGATGACAGAATAACCTTCAGTAGGAAGACAACCAATCAGAAGACGTTGCTTCCCTGCTAACAATAATGTAAATAAAAATCTATAAATATCTGTTGATTTTCTGAATAAACGATCTGGTCTGGCCCTTGTCTTCTGTCGTTACACTACTACCCAATAACTAGTATGAAAGTTCACAGTCTATTGTGTCATGAATTGAGCCACGCTATAAAGAGCTGTAGGCTGTGTGATTAGGGCCCTCCATATTGTTAGAATCAACAGTTTGAGATGACGTGGTTCAACACATTGTTTTCGATTTATTTCTACCATAATTTTATTCCTTTACATCCCGAGTGTAACATCGGGGGCTTCAAGCTAGAGCTTTGAAGTTTCAGTAGCAGTGGTGTTTATTTTTACGGGATAGGGTTGCTAGCTGCCTCATGCCCCACCCCACCCAACTTTCCCTCTTTACCGTTCTGATTACCGACTTACCAAGGTAAAAGAGTGTGTCCGTTGGCCGGGAATCGGACCCCGGACAGGATGAGGCGTGGTTGCCACCGATGCACGCTAAGATTATTCGATTGACACAATTTCAAACTCTTAATCGATAAACTTTTAATTTACACAGCTTCAATGGTTACTTATTTATCGATTTATTCATGGGTTATTTTATTCAAAAAAAATATATATACTAAATAATAGTAATTACCGATTAGTTGATTTGGAGCTTTTCTATACTTTCTTAAACTGATTCTTGATGTTCCTATCCGTCGAGCATCTTTACCACTTGATCCACTATCTCGATATAAACTGATGGTCATTACAGAAACATTTGGAAGATTACTAGTTGAGAAGAAAAATAATAAAACATAAAAAGCTGTTAGATGAAAAGTAGTAAAAAATGAATACAAAACAGAAAGAAAGTATATTGCTGAACCGATTCATTTCCTGTAGGATACAGATAATACTTTTGGTGGATTAGATATCTTCAAGTACGACTTGCCCTAATCATGCAGTTAACCTGGGGTTCTAGTGGGAAGCCGCGACCAGCAGGCTACAGCAGGTTGAAGATGAGCCAGTAACTCATCGAAGAAGATATTGCGAAATGGTCACGCTATGTCGTGAATTGGCAGAAGTTAGAATCCATGGATAGGCAATTTGATTGGGTCCCAGTGGCTCAATGGTCTACGAGCTCGCATGGGTTCGACCCTCCTGTGGTGGGTGCGTAGTGCTGAAAATTCCCAAACTGGGCTGATGAAACAGCTGTCTGGTAGTACTCCCAGGTGGTTTTCCAGTGGTTCTCTAACCGATGTCAGCTCATGATGAAATCCTCCATGCAATCAAACTAAGTCCCCACAAAACCATAACTTGAGGAATAGATATCTGACTTTTAAAAGTCAATCTGATCGAAGAATATTTTTTCAATAACTTCTCCTCTTCAGGTTCTTACAATTTCTGCTTAATTTGACCTTTGACCTGAAATATCTCTACAATAGTACCACTACCTATCTTCTGTTTATTACACTCAGTAATTTTATTAATCTGACCTCCAACCGGAAATAATTCTGGAATTATCTCACACATGTAATACATATATATACGAATGTACAGTCTAGTTGACAGTGACTTCGTCGAAAAGAAAATTTTCTTCTTTGCAACCGTCTTTTTAAATTACCTTCGGGTAATCTTTATGAATATATGTGTTTTAAGATTGATCACGGATTGATGTCAGCTGGGAAACCGTTGAAAAAACACAAGGGAATTCTGAAAAAATGTTTCACCCCTGATGTTGGACAGTTAGTTCATCAGTATGCAGTCAAGCCCCCAGTCAGGGATAAAACGCAGGACCTTCTGGTTATGCGGCCAAGTTCGTTGACCATTCAACCGGGATCCAATGGCCCATGAATACTAACTTTTGTATCTTCGTGATTTTAACGTGACTGCTAGCTAATGTCATTAGCAAGTATTAGTCCTCAAATCCGACCTGATAGACCCCAACTGGTCACAACTTTTCAACAGACCTTCAAGGAATTTTATCTTGTAGCTAGTCACTAATGAGAAGCATCAGAGGAATTCTCAAGAATTACTTTGTAAGTATTTGATTTAATTCAAGTTTGATTATGGAGTGATGTCAAAGAACCATTAAATCTCGTAATCTGAAGGTCTTGAGTTAGATCCCTGGTGACGTCGGGAGCGTATAATGTGAAGAGTCGCAAACTAGGACGAAACAAGCGTTGGTTTGTAGGGATTTGATTGGTTACAGGATTTCATCATGAGCTGACATTAGTTAGAGAACCATTGGAAAACCTGGGAGTACTGCCAGACAGCTGTTCCGTCCTAGTGTGGGACTCTTTATAAGTACGCACCCACCGGGATTCGAACACAGGACCTTCTGGTTACAAGGCTAGCGAGCTCATTGACCATTAGGTCACTGGGACCCAATCCAATGGCGCATAAATTCCAGTTTCTGCCAATTCACGACATAGCGCGACCCCTAGCCGATGTCTTCGGCGAGGACGAAACAGCTGCCTAGGACTCCCTGCTTGAATATATGTATGTATGTAATAAATAAAGTAATAAGTAATTATCCAATAAGTGGAGTAGTATTCAAGCTGAAAGCCTATATCTGGTGTTATTCTATAATACACACAGTCAACTTGGTGTATTAGAAAACTTCACTACACAACTACAATACACACCTCCATTCCTCTCTGTATGCGCAGTTGGAATTTATTTCCAAGTGTTATGTGAATGAATACAAACAGTTGGTATACAGGTGGTAATAAATCTGATTACCTGATATTTTTTGGTTTATTTGTTTGTGTGTGTCATTTTTCAAACAATTAAAAATTTTCAAGTATTGGGTTTGTAGGGATTTTGTTTGATTGCATGTAGGATTTCATCATGGGCTGACGACATCAGTTAGAGAACCATTGGAAAACCAGCACTGAAGTACTGGACAGCTGTTTCCCCAGCCTAGTTTGGGACTCTTCAGCAGTACGCACCCACACCACGGGGTTCGAGCCCAGGAACTTCTGGTTACAAGACTAGCGAGCTCGTAGACCATTAATCAGCCACTGGGACCCTATCCAATGGTCCTTGAATTCTAACTTCTGCCAATTCACACACGACATAATGCGACCATTTCCCAATGTCTTCTTCGATGAGTTACTGCCTCATCTTCAACCTTCTGAACCCTACTGTTGACGGCTTCCCACTAGAACCTGAGGTCATTGCCTGAATATGGCCAGTCGCTAGTGAGCATCAGATTAATCTTCAAGTATTGGTTTTGTGGGGATTTTTTTTGATTGCATGGAGAATTTCATCATGAGCTGACATCAGTGGCTCCACAGTTGATGAGGTCGCTCGTCTTGTAACCAGAAGGTCCCGGGTTGTCAGCTCATGATAAAATCCTCGATGTAATTAGAAATTTATCCTCTCTTCAATCAATTTTGTATTTCCCGTCGACTGATTATCTATTGAACCGATATGTTCGGCATCTGTTGACCTATGTGCTCCTGGTATGGATGCTTCAACGATATCTGAGTATTAAGGGTGATGTTAGTTGGTGGATGTTGACTCGCGGTGGAATCCATTAGGCGCAGCATTTCGTCTTTATTATGGACAAAATTTTATGTTGATAAAATCACACTCTGTTTGTTATACAGTAATATTTACTGATGACCACGCTTCGAGCACAAATTACCATTGCTACTCATAATCATACCAAGGTACTCCTCACACAACTTTCTTGCTTCATTTATATACATGAGTGAAATTGATGATTAGACATTTGAATAAAAGCACATTCGGAAATAATATTAGTGTTATAAATAAAATACCATGAGATGGGAAATAAGATATTTTTCATAGTAAAATAAATAAATAACTTGTTAGAATGTTATAATGTATGTGAATTGAATACATATTAGTTTGTTTATTAGATGTATCACAGTCAGTGGGATAGTATTATTTACTGGATGACAGTTTCGAACACAATTTATTCATTGTTCATAATCATTTCATGAATTATAATCACACGACTTCGAAACTTGAGTTTTATAGTTTTCTTTGTTCTCTCCTATTTGTCATCTTTGGAAGGTAGTCGAATTTTCCAGATATCTGGGTGGACAGGTGTTGAATCATTCCTATTACATGTATTGACTCTCAACTGATTCGATAAACAAAGCTTCTGTTATCAATCTCTGCCTCAACCCCGTTATATTAGATTAGATTTTGAAACTGTCATCTTATCCCATCCAACCTATTGTATGGTTGTGTGTTAATGCATGCAGTGCAATTGCTCCTAACCTTTTTTCAAAATTACTTATCTTCGTGAGATCAATCATTCTAACCTCAGCTAAATTCTTATGTTCTGATAATCTCACTTCTCCTGATCTACTAGTTTGACCTACGTAGTTGACTTAACTCACAGTCATTGCAGGGTATTTTTTCAAACTATATTATTTTGTTTAATTGGGTCCACTAGGTTTTTTAGCCTACAGAGCTTGTCCCTGTCTGAGTGAGTTAGTAGGTTTAAATGCCACCCTAACTCCTGCTTTATTAAGAATCCTACGTAGGGTCTCAGATGTTCCCTCCTTTTATGCTCAAACTGAAGATGCTTCATATTCTTTCTTATAGTGGAGTTATACCCTACCACAGTGCCCAAGTTTTATCCTTATATCAATAATGCATTTCGTCCTATTTGGGGCTCGTCATCTGAAATGTGCCTTAAGTTTCCAGTGAGTGATGGTTTTTGCACTGAGACTCATTTCAAACACCAAAGCGTCATCCACTAAATTAACTTGAACAGCAGGGGGTCGTCAACATCACAAGTGGCCTAATGGATGAGGCTTCCGGTGTTTAAAACAATGAGCGCTAGTTTCGAGCCGAAGTGCGAAATTCACGGCTCACTGACTAGTTACCATCCACTAAATTATAAATGTTTGCTCTGAAAGGTTTAAAGATAGCTGATTGATTGATTTTTAGTACAGTTTAGTGCGTCGGTGGCATAGCGGTTAGGACACTAGCCGACCATGCACATGGTCCGGGGTTCGATCCCCGGCCACAGACGCATTCCTTTGCCTCGCTAAGCCAGAAATAATGCTGGTGAAGAGGAAAGGTTGGGCATGAGGCTACCAACCCCGTCCAGGAAAAAAAACACTGCTACAGAAACCTCAAGCCACTAGCTTGAAGCTCTATGTTCCACTGGGGAACGTGAAGGAATAAAAAAACAGTTTGTATCCCAACCGACATCATCATCACCATCGAAGAGAACCATTAGAAATTGAGGAATACTGAAAAGTCTATTTGGAAATGAGTTACCACTACTGATGTTTCCAGAGGTTTTGTTTAGCTCAATAATGGCAATCAATAGGCAATAGTTAAGGAATCAAGATTTTCAAGTGTTGAATTGTTTTAGGCATTTGATCGATTCTTCCATTGAAGGGAATATTCCCACATTGAGTCATCACAATAAGACGTAAACAGTGTAGCGAATTCCCCCTTTTCAATGAGTCCTTTTTAAGAAACGTTGTACAATCCCATTTATATTCAAGTATTCGTTTGTAGGCATTTGATTGTTTGGTTACAAGATTTCATCATGAGCTGACATCAGTTAGAGAACCCTTGGAAACCCACCGGGAAGTACTGGACACCTGTTTCGTCCTAGTTTGGGAATCATCTTCAGCAGTACAGACCCATCTCAAAGGTTTGAACCCACGAACTTCTGGTTACAAGGCCAGCGAGCTTTTTAGACCGTTTAGGCACTTGGAACCCGATCCATTGGCTAGCCCACGAATTCTAATTTCTGCCAATTCATTCAATAGCGCGACTGGCACTAGCCATGTCATCGCTGGTTAGCATTTGTCATCACATTCGACCAGCTGTACCCTATTGGTCAAAACTTCCCACCTGAACCCCAGGTAACTACTTACCTGAATATGGCCAGTCACTAGTAAGCATCTAATTTGATATTCACGTAGTTCAATGGTTCTCTAACCGATGTCAGCTCATGATGAAATCCTGTAACCAATCGTATTTATACACTTGACAAGGAATTCGTAAGACCAATCAGATCAGATACTAGTAAATTTGTTCTAGAAAAATGTATTACATAATCAACAAGGGGATGACTAATTGGAGGTGAGAAAAAAAAGGAGGCAGAAGTTGGAATGACGTAATAACTGTGAAAATTGACTAATCAGTATAATTGTATAAAAAGTGGACAAAAACTATCAGAAATACAATATTGTGTTTATATAAAACCCGTATGAGAACACAGTGTTATTAATAAACAATTAAAGAACGATTGTAAAATAATAATAATAAAATTACACAATGAAATTAAGGTAAGAATGTTACTCTGTCCATAGGTAATGCGAGCGAATGTATGTAGTGCTTTTGATCGCAGGAAGAACATTTTCTTAGCTTCAGGATTTCGTCATGAACTGACATCGGTTTGGAAAACCACCAGAAATAACTGGACAGCTGTTTCCTCAGCCTTGTTTAGGACTCTTCAGCAGTACGCACTCACCGCTAGGGGTGGAACCCAGAACTTTCTGGTTACAAGGCGAGCTCGTTGACCATTAGGCCACTGGGATCTGATTCCATGGTCCATGGAATTCACGATATGGCGTCACCAGTAGACAATGCCATCGACGAGTATTTGTCCTCACACCTGACCTACTCTATACCACACCACCTACCTGAATAGGAACAGTCTCTAGTGATCATCAGATCGATATTCAGGTGTTGGTTTGCAGGGATTCGCTTGGTTTCCAGATTTCATCATGAGATTGGCTTGTAACTAAAAGGCCATGGGCTCGAACCCCTTTTTGGTGGATGCGCACTGATGAAGAGTCCCAAACTAGTCTGACGAAACAACTGGCTGTCCAGTACTCCTAGATCCTTCAGCAGTCCTCTAACCAATGTCAGTCAGTTCATGATGAAATCCTGTAACCAATCAATCAAATCCCTACAAACCGACACTTGAATTTTCTTAGCTGTTTACGTTTTTTATTTTTTTCTCATTTGATTGATTTCAGCTATGATCGCAACAGACTGATACCTGAGTTAGAGAATAAATTATAGAAAAGCAGGGAGTGTTGGATTAGAAATCACATGAGAGGTTGGGTTCGGAGTCCCACTGGCTTAATCGATCGAAGAGCTCTCCTTGTAACCTGATGGTCATGAATTCCGTCGACTATGAAGTCATATGTTTGTACCACTGAAGAGACTCAAAGTAGGACGAAATAGCTATCCAGTTCTCCCTGGTGGTTATCAGTAGTTTTCTGACTGGTGTCAGCTGGTGATCGAAGCGAAAAATAAGTATGAAACATACTTAGAATAGTAGTGTTTAACCAAATACTTGTAATAATAATAATAATAGTAATAATAATAATAATGACAGTAATAATAATAGTAATAATAAAGAGAAATGGTTAGAAATCGCTTACTTTAAGTTGAAATCTTCAGCCCAAAATATTTCTGATAGAGCTGTTTTACTAGTTGTCCGTGCATACAGAGTTCGATCCAAGCATATATCACAATAATAACTAGAAGATAAGAAGATAGGAAAACAAGGAGCATAGAAAAAATTCTTTTCTTTAAATCTGATAATAATTGATTACATAAGAAAATGTGACAAATTTTATACAATAGATGGATGTCGTTTTTATTTCTCTTGGATTCCGAATAAAGTACAGTGTCTCAATAGCACATGTTGATTTGGTCGTGTTCTCTGAAACTTTCTTCCGCTGGCCCCACAACTCCCCATAGCCTCCTCTCATCTTCTCCTTACACAATCTCCTCCACTCCCCCAACTTGTCGTCTCCCATTTGGGTCCTCCTCCTAAAAGGCCTGGCGCGCGATGTCAACAAACGGTCTCCCCCAGCATTTATTCAAACTATCTCCATTTCCTAGTGCATAATTTTTGGGCGTAGATTCTTAGTCAAGCGTCGGTGGCACATCGGTAGAATACTCGCCAACCACGCCTCATGTGGCTCGAGGTTCGATTCCCGGCCACTGAAACACTGTTTTACCTAGTAATAAGACTGGTAAAGACGGAAGGTTGGGGGAACAAGAGGCTAGCGACCCCATCTCGTAAAAGTGACAAACATCACTGCAACAGAAACTTCACAGCTCCAGCTTGAAGCCCTATGTTCCACTGGGAACGTAAAGGAATAACAAAGAAGAAGATTCTTGGTCGCTTTACTGCCAGATCTCCTTGTTGTTGCTTGTGGTATCCTGCTGGTTATTTGATCTTCAGTGTGTGGAGTGAAGTGGGCATATGTTGTTAAAAGTCTGCAACAGATTGGTGGAATTTCTCTTCATGACCCAACGAATCTCTGAATCAGATAGAAGCAGTGACTGACTTGACATTAGTGTTGGAAAAACCGACTCTTGGTTTTCCGTTCATAACGAAAGATGCTTGTTGTTGGTTGGTTGGTTAGGCCTCGAGTGCTAGGTAAGGGGGGAGGGGAAATCAATCAACGAGGCTGTGAAGCTACATAGACTGAGATGGTTAAGACATATGTTACGAATGCATCCCTAGCCATCACCTTCCTCGACCGAAGGGCAATGTTAGCTAACATAGGGTCAGGTTGGAAAAGAGCTGGCGGAGGTCAAACCAAAACATGGCACCAGTCAATGAAATCTAGAACAGTTAGTTTAAGCCAGTCAGTCAGCCACGTAGGGATATGTAGACTTCCTGACTGGTTCGGGTCCAAGGGAAGGTAAAAAACAATGAAGACTGGAGACAATCGATGATATGGCTCAAAATCGTTGTCAACGACTGGCGCAGTTAGATGCATCCACTCCCTGTGACTTATAATACCCAATAAAACTATATTGTTCTTCGTTATTACTATTCCTTTTGTTTCATATCCCTGTCTACTGTCTCCATTATGCATTTCTTCTACTTTCTTCTCATGTTTTGTGTGCTACAAGGAGGGAGTGTGGAAACTTGAACTTCTGCACTTCGGTGCAAAGTTCTATATTGAAAACAGATAGACAGACAGACGGGTTGGTCGGTTGGTTGGTTATCTTCATTACTGTCGTCTTCTCTTTGTTCAATTGAAGCCCTTTTCTTTGATGCTTTTTCTGCCATCTTGTTGGTTGTTGTGTGACATTAGGCATGAATAATTTGCAAAGTCCAGACCTTCTACAAACTACTTATTGGTCCACCGTTTTTCCTGTCTGTAGCATGGTCCAGTCCACCAAAATTACGAATATCATCGATGAATAACTAGTAAGCAGCCTTGTCTTTCTCCCGTCTTCACCTCAAAAGCTCCACTCACTTGTGGAACTATCGAATAACTGTTTGAATGAGATTGTGATACAGCTTCTCACCACCGCATAGTGTTGAGAAACAGTTTCCAGATAACTTCGAAAACCTTTTCAAAATCAATAGAGTTTAATCAGAGTTTTGACTGCCATTCTGTTACTAAACACTAGTACTATAAGAAAGTTACGCCAAGTTAAACTTAAAACATCACTAACAATTACCAATGGAGTGTGATCGTACCATTGACACTGAATGGTCCACTGAGTTTCATCCACGTGAGTTGAAGCTTCTATTCCACTTGATTCGATTCAAATGCCTACTGTAACTCAGTTGCGCTTGCAATTTGGTGAGGATAAGGTTTTCCAGTATTGCTTGGATGTGGGATTGATTACAAAACAAAGGATTTGTTTATGCGGAGGTGTTATGAACATAAATAGCTTCAACAGGTCAGTTAATGGATATGTGCATCGTTGTGCAATTAGTTTGAGACGAATTAGTAAGCTGGTGATTCTAATATTTCGTAGGAACATTTCTTGCCAGGTCCCATCTGTTCATAACCAAGATTTTGTAAATTTGTAATTACTGGGTTTTAAGGAAGGCTTCGTGTGCGTCCAACAATCGTTGTATTTCTTGACGTAAAGGTGGGATTCGATTCTGTCGACCAAGAGGTTTTCTGGCTATGCTTGGCTGCAGCGGTCAAACCAAAACTTGGCACCAGTCAATGAAATCAATAACAGTTAGTTTCAGCCACGTAGGAAGTTTTAGACTTCCTGGTTGGGGTCCTCAGGACGGTGGAAACCAATGGCTGGAGACAACTGGTGATATGGCTCAACATCGTCGTTCTCAATGGCTGGCGCCAATGCATCCACTCCTTGTGATTTATGATTCCCAGTGAAACTATATCGTTCTTCGTAATTACTATTCCTTTGTCTCACACCTCTGTTTACTGTCTCTATTTTGCATTTCTTTAACACTTTCTTCTCTTGCTTTGTGTGCTACAACGAGGGAGTATGGCGACTTGAACTGCTGCACATCGGTGCAAAGTTCTATATCGAAGACAGACAGACAGACAGACTGGGTTTTAAAACAGCCTATGAGAGGTGCAGTTGCTGGAACTGAAAATAGTCTCGTATCAACAGTTCAGTGGTACCAGCCCTGCAGACACATATCGCGTCATGGAAAATGGAAAGGCTTACTTCGTTATTGAGAGAAGAAAAAAATACAACTGTGGTTGAGAACGAGTGAATAATGTTAGGCTGATAGGTTTATATGATACCTCTCTACAGAAATCATTCGTCGACAGGATAGCAGATAGAAAGTCAACTACCTTGATATCTATTATCACTCGACACACAAATGAGAGGAACGTTTTTAACTTCTTGTCATCTCTTGGATATATATCCACCACAGAGCCAATCATTTTAATGACTTTGTGGATCCCATTACAGGCGGGGACACACACCAATTCTATAGAAGCCTTTTGGGGAAGGTTAAAAAAACAGGATTAGAGCAATTAACGGGTCTCAAAAGGATGCTCATTTATCGTCATTTAGATGTATAGGATGTGGTGTAACTTTTCAATTGATACTCCTATGCTAAACTGGGAGATATTTTTATCACATGTGATTCAAAGGTATCCTATCTAACAGTTTTATACAATTTTTATGCATTTTTTACATAAATAATATGTAATCCATAACCAAAAATACCTCCTTCATGTGATTGGTGCGTTCAAGGTCGTTCGCTGATTGGTAGTTAGTGGTGCTTAAAGTTTAACCTTGCCGAAAGTCAATAGTTATCGGCCTTATTCACCACATATACGTATACACATATATACACACTGTCACATACGCGTGTGCGCCCTTGCTTTGCTTTTCCTATTATTACCTCTCATTTTCCTTCTAATGTTAATGGGTTTCAATTGTCAATTTATTTGTGGCTGCGTCTCCCTCCTATTCTTTTGTTTTTTCTCTTATTTAAGAAATTTAACCGTTTTCCGCGCGCGCTCTTTCTCTCTCTAACTCTATAATTACTCAGCATTCATTACTTGTGTATGTAGTGAAGAGAATATGATTTAGAAACACTCTGATGACAGAGATGAGATAATAATAATAATGAAGGCAACAGCAACTGTTTCTTATTAGAAAAGAAATGGTAGTAAGCATATATATATACATATGCATAAATGTCCAAAAAATGGTGTGTTGATTTTCTTTGTCTCCCAGATGAGAAACAGAAAACTTTTTTTTGAAGTCGGTCAACCAGTCACCCAGTCAGTCAGTCACTCAGTCATAAAAAGGAGAAAGTCACATTTTTTAAGAAGAAAATATTTTTATCTTATGCTAAATGTCGGTTCTTATGATTCATTTAAATAGGAATAGTGTCCTTTTGTTTCATTATTTCTTGAAAGTTAATCGATAAAACTCCAAGTTTTGGTTTGCATGGAGGGTTTCGACTGTCTGTCTTCATGATTTCATTATGAGCTGAATCTTGGCGTACTGGGCAGCTATTTCGTCAGCCTAGTTTGGGACTCTTCATCAGTAACCACCGACCCACCCACTCACCAGCAGCCAGGATTCGAACGCAGGACTTTTCGGTTAAAAGGCGAGCTTGTAGACCACATGAAGTCACTGGGACCACAATCCAATGGCCAGCCGCCCATGAATTCCAACTTGTGACAATTTTCGATACAGCGCGACCACAAGCCAAAGTCCTCATATCCTGCAAACCAATACTTGAATATCAATAAAATGCCCACTAGCGACTGCTCCAATAGACGTAGGTAGCTAACTGGGACCTAGTGGGAAGCCATGACCATTGGGGTAAAACAGGTTGGGTGTGAGCACAAAACACCCGCAAGCGATGACTTTGGCTAGGGCCATTCTCGCTATATCGTGAATTGGCAGAAGTTGGAATCCATGGGATAGCCATTGGCTATTCCGTCCCAATAGTTGAATGGTCTACGAGCTCACCTTGTAACCTAGAAATCGTGGTTTCTACGCTTAGTGGCACGGTCATGGGTGTGTATTACTGAATAGTCTCAAACTGGGACGAAATGACTTCTAATAATTCTTTAACTGATATTATTACTGAATGTGAGATTTCACTAAATAAATAGTCAATAATAAAGGAAAATCTTGGGGGCTAACACAACAAACAGGGATAGGCAAGTAGAATATAACTATATGACTACTTTATATTGTAGTCGGGCTGTATTTTGAACTGGCAATGGTTGCATAGTAGAGTGTTCGACCTCGTGACCATCACATGATTCTCTCTTATCTTGATCTGATATGGTGTCATTACTGAAGGATAATAGTAATGGGGATCTAAATGATATTAATTCGTCATGAAAATCAATCACCTCTGTAAAAGCACCTTCAGGTTAAATGTAGGTTATTTCCTAATTACACTTTCCCAGTTGGAATACAATCAGTCACTGCGGAAGAAGTTCACTCTCAGACAACGAATCTCTGATCGGACGAAACAGGCAATCCTTAATTCCACTGTTAATCACTGTCACACTGTGAAGTTACATAGATTGAGATGGTTAGGACATGTGTTACATAAGCATGGCCAGCCATCGCCTTCCTCGACCGACGGGAAATGTTTGCTGACATAGGATGGATCAGGTTGGTGGTCAAATCAAAACATGGCTTCATCAGTCAGTCAAATTCGTAACAATTAGTTTAAGCCACGTAGGAAGGTGTAGACTTCCTGACTGACAGGTCGGGGTCCTTGAGACGATAAAAACCAATGAAGGCTGGAAAACATCGGTGATATCGCTCAAAATCGTTATCCATGGCGGGTGCAGATGCATCCACTCCTTGTGACTCATGATTTCCAATGAAACTGTTTTGTTCTTCGTTATTACTACTTCTTTTGTCTCATATTCCTGTCTACTGTCTCTATTATGGATATAAGTATAAAACTTGGGCACTGTGGTAGAGTATAATTCCATAATGGATAAGAATTTATTTTGATAAATCACACAGTGTAGTACAGTTATAATAACTGATGACGTTTCGAGCACAAACTATTGCTCATAATCATATCAAGTTGATATGATATGAGCAATGAGCTATGCCGTCTCCCCACTCCAGAGACGGGGTTGGTGGGTGGGTTACAGAAGGTCGACTCGACGTATTCTATCGCGGTCCGCAGCTGGCAGTAATCCTTAATATGGCCAGTTCAACAAACAGGCCGGTCTCAAGCAGTTGTCCCTTGAGCTCTGAGGTTATGCAACACTAATTCTTTTTTCTGTTTCAGGTACACACCAAGAAAAAAAATCAGTCAATCCAGGAAATGTTGCAATGAACAACTGACAAACATGGTCACTAGTACATATTACGTAATAAACCGAATGAGAGTGCGTACATTAATTAATCGCGATAAATGATCATGACAGCTGAAAGTATTTTTTTCACATTCCTCTATTTCACCTTTGCTCAAAAATACAAAATAAATATATAAAATATTCCTAAAATTAGCAAACTTTTGAAAATAATTGAGCATCAAAATAAATCGCTTCTTCAACCTTTCTTATCAACAACTGCCCACTCTCGCTGGCTCCATATTGGAAGACAAAATGGCTGACCGGCCAGAAAGAATCAGTAGCAAGAAACTCTGACTGGGAGCAAATTAACTAAGAACCCATCTATCTCTCAACCATATATGTAGAAGAAAATGGAGATAGATTGGGAAAATGCGAAGGAGACCGTTGAATGAAATTGCACGCCAGGTCATTGTTCGAATAGAATCCCAATGGGTCGTCAAAGCGAGAGTGACATGGAAGAGATCGTGTGGCGAGGAGGAGATCAGTGATTATAGACAATCGTCGACCCAGCCAACTAAAGAGGGCAGCAGAGAACAGAACAGAGTGGAGACGTGTTGTTGAAGCCCTATATGTTCCACTCGGAACCAAAGGTAACAATAATAATTAATTTTCTATATTTGGTTTGAAAGGGTCAGATTTGTTTTTACGAGTTGATCATGCATTGATATCAGTTAGAGAACAGTTGAAAACCAGCACTGAAGTACTGGACAGCTGCAGGATGGAGTTTCCTGGAGTTCTAGTGCGAAGTCGCGACCAGTGAGGTCCATCCAGTTAAGTGTGAGGACGGATGTCCCATGAACGATATTGGTTGGGGTCAGGCTAAATCACGAATTGGTAGAAGTTAGAATTCATAGGCTGACTATTGAGGAATCGGGTCCCAACGGCTGAATGGTATACGAGCTTGCTGGCCTTGTAATCGGAAGGTCCTGGGTTCGAACCTCGGAGCGGGAATGCCTATGATTCCCAAACTACGATGAAACAGCTGTCCAGCACTCTTCGCTGGTTTTCAATGGTTCTCTAACAATGATATCGATCCGTGACCAATTCGTAAAAATAATACTAATACTGATAATAAATCAATTTTTTTTGTAAATTGAATAAACTCATCGATTGATTTTAGTCTAACTTACCGACGCTTTGGTAGAAGATTTCTTGCTTCTAAAATTGACAGCTTCAAAGAATTCTCTCGATGATATTCATTCTCCAAATTCGGTTTAGCTGTTCTTCTGAGGCTAAAAACGAAAAACAAATTTGTTTATATGCATCGTTAAAAATTTAAAAGAGTATAAAATCACTTTCTTGTATTATAAGATCTTTCTTCACCGTAGATAGACACAGACAAAACAGATAGACAGGTCAACGTAGAACCACTATAAACAAGAAGCCAACCACTAGAAGGTCAATGATACGCACCATTTTAGCTTCACAACTTAGTCGATTGATTTCCCCTGCCTCCTTACCTAGCACTCGACATCTAACCTGAACATTACTCACCCTATCGCATCACATAAAACGAGAAATAGGACACAGACACTTATGATCAAACATAGCTAGCTGGCCTTTCATGTCTTCCACTTTCAATTACCATGTCTCACCAACAATCATAAAGGCGGACGGAGTGGACTGCTGCATTGAGCAGTATACACGTCCTTTGGTTTACACGCCAGAGATGACCTGGAGTTGGCAAATTACACACGAGCCTTCTGTATCCGTGTTGAGAATTCATTAGCAACCAACCCACTGGCGTTGGCTGATGCAGCTCCCCGAATAAGTGAAGTGGTCAGCACGCTCCATCAACCACTTAACTTCCTATCTTCAAGTTAGAAGTTGTATCATCTTACATTTGACGGGAGCGAATCCCATACCAAACATTCTGCTCAAAGTGTTCAGAAGACTCTGCTGTATTTCGTCAGCATCTTAACCTAGAAGGACTAATATCATCTGCATATTCTAAGTCAACGAGATTATTCCCTGGCGGTAAGAAGTCACTCCCCGAGTCGCTGAAGTCAGCAGTTAGAGTTAACTCCATTAGCACATACATCTATGATGAAATTAAACAGAAATAGGGACAGTGGGCATCCCTGACGGACACACACCACTGGAATATTAGTTCCAGCCAGTGCAGCAGCTTATTGCGTCATTGCGATATACAAACCCAACCACAATGTCAAGGTAGCAGTTATCAGTTTGGGCAATGAAAACTAGATAGCACTCGCCCTATTTGGACACTATTCATCACTGTGCGCCCAAGTCAAGCAGGGTAATGCTATATTACGAGTTGACGACGTTAGAATTCACCGGCCGTGGCAAATTTCAACAATAGCGTCCCAGAAGTGCGAATGCACGAGTGCCCTTCAGATGACCAATCATAGAAAAGAGGAATTTTTGCACAAAAATTGATGTATATTGACAAGCGAAATGCTTGAAAACACATTAAACAGGTTATCTTTCCCTGACATGACTTAAAAATACATCCCAGTTATAATGAGGAGTATCAGTTGCGCTAAGTTAGACAAGTTTCTGTGCATGTATTCACCGAGGTAACTAAAGACGATCTATTTTTCTGAATTGTTTATCTCTCTTATCCAGCTGCGTAGTCTTCCCCAAAAGCCCTTGGTTGAATTACTATGGTTTCCAGTAAGAGGATCGATGACTACTTACCAGGGAAATGTGGATAAGAAAGCAAATTAAAATAAGTGTCATCAACTCTAAATAATAATAATAATAATTTGCTTTATTCCAAAACAGTACTTGTGATACAGAATGGAATTCTCAGCATTTTTACTACAGTATTGCATCCAGTTAGTACATTATCAATGAATAAAATTCTACATAGATTGAGGAAATCTCAGTTCATTATGACAACAACATATTGGCATGTCGGTAGCAAAGCCAAAGTTGAACAATGTTTGAAGGTGTTAGAAAAGTAGGTGCTATCATATTTACTAGCGGAAGCGGAAGAAAGAAACAAAGCAGCACATAACAGAAAAAAGGAGAGAGAGAGAAAAGGAAAAGAAAGAAAGAAAACGTTTTACCTATAAATGATATCAGTTGGAAAGATGAGGTCCAGTTGTACTACTGACTATTTAATAAGTTATAAGTATCACGCCTAATGCTTTCTTTATCGCACAGAACACGAGCTAAGTAGGGTATGGTTGAGTTTTTGTACTTGCTGGTGCGAGCATATAGTTTTCTATATAGGCTTCTGGTTTTGCTTGATGAGATGCAAGGGTAACCCTAACCCTAAACTTAACACTAAGCCTAACCTTAATCCTAACACTACTTACAACCCTTATCCTAACCGTAGACCTAACCCTAATCCTAACCCTAACGAGCTATTAACACACATTGACCAAACACTACTTAAAAACGTGATCTGGGTGAAATTTGCTCCTTAGCTGTGGTGAAAAGCGTTGATATTTCAGCTATCATAATAACAGGTGCCGTTAGCCAACGACTGGCATGCGTTCAAGGTCATTGGAGCATTTGCACTCCTGGGACGCTATTGTTGAACTTCGCCCGGGCCGTTAAATTCCTTTCTAAGTGGCTGAATGGTCGACCAGGCTTATCTCGTTAACCTGAAGGTGTCGAGGTTCGGTTGAGGATACACACTGCCGAAGAATCAGACTCTCCACTACTCCATGTTGATTTTTTTTTTCAATTATCTACACATTGTAATTTGTCGCTATCTGTCCAAATCTGTTTCATCTCATGGGCTTTAGTCAACACACGCACGCACGCACACACACACACACACGCAGTAGTAAGGACACTAGAAACACATTGAAACTAGTTCATAGAAAAAGACGCACACACACACACACACACGCATAAAAATGTGATTCGTAGCGTACATAACATAACATATCTATACATAAATCAACGAACAAAACTGTACTAAGTAAGATGTACCTTTTAACCAACACATTAACGATAACCAGACTGAAATGTAACATTTTTCACAGCTGGCGAGAAAAAAAACAGATAAACCATTCCCTAAATGATTACAACTTGAATATCAAGTAACAACTAGCTACCTAGCTAACTAGCTAAATAACTAACGAACGAACAAAAAGTGGTTTTTTTATTGACTAAATGTCTTACTGAAATGTTACATACACTACAACAGTTACTGGCACTAATAACACTACTACTACTGCTACTGCAATACTTTCTTAGCAAAACAAAAAATTGTATACACTTGAACAATCTACATACTTCTAAAGAAGTCGACAAAACATAAAAGTATTTATATTGGCAGAAGCTAAAATTCATGGGCTGGTTGGTCATTGGATCGGGTCCCAATGGCTTAATGGTCTACGACGTCGCTCGTCTTCTAACCAGAAGGTCTTAGGTTTGAACCCCGTGGTGTGGGTGCGTGCTGATGAAGAGTCCGATACTATGACGAAACAGCTGTCCAGTACTCCCAGGTGGTTTTCCAATGGTTCTCTAACTAATTTACCTACAAAACCAATACTTGAAAATTAATCTGATGCTCACTAGTGACTGGCCCTATTCAGGTGGACATTCAACCTGGGATTCTAGTGGGAAGCCGTCACCAGTAGGCTACAGCAGGTTGAAGATGAGGCAGTAACTCACCGAAGAAGACATTGAGAAATGGTCACACTATGTCGTCAATAGGCAGAAGTTAGAATTCATGGACTGGTTGTCCATTGGATCGGGTCCCAGTGGCTGATAAATGGTCTACGAGCGCGCTAGTCTTGTAACCAAAAGGTCGTGGGTTCAAACCCCTGTGTTTGACTCGTACTGATGAAGAGTCCCAAACTAGCCTGACGAAACAGCTGTCCAGTACTCCAAGGTGCTTTTCCAATGGTTCCCTAACCAATGTCAGCTAATGATGAAATCCTTCATCCAATCAAACAAAATCCCTACAAAACTCAATACTTGCATATTTATACATACATAAACATCGTAAACTACACAGATTGATTAGTTATACAAAAACATCGGCCTGTTTAGTACACCTCATCAGCAAACAATATCCGACTATCGACCAAAGGGCGTGTGTACTGCTCAGCAGTCCGCTCCGTCCTCCTTTATGGCTGCGAGACCTGGCCATTGAGAGTGGAAGACATGAAAATATTATCTGTCTTCGATCATAGGTGTATGCGTTCTATCTCCCGCGTGAAGTGGTATAATAAGGTGAGCAATATTGAGGTTAGACATCAGTCGAGTGCTAGGTAGGTGAGAGGGGGAATCAATCGACGAGGCCATGAAATTACATCGACTGAGATGGTTAGGACATGTGTTACGCATGCATGCCTAGTCATTGCCTTCCTCGATGGGCAATGTTAGCCTGATATAGGGTCAGGCTGGAAAAGAGCTAGCGGCGGTCAAACCAAAACATGGCTTCATCAGTCACTGAGATCTACAACAGTTAGTCTAAGCCATGCAGGAAGGTGTAGACTTCCTGACTGGTTGGGGTCCTCTGGACGGTAAAACCCAATGGTTGGAAACAATTGGTGACATGGCTCAAAATCGTTCTCAATGTCTGGGGTAGATGCATCCACTCCTTGTGACTTATGATTTCAAATGAAACTATATTGTTCTTCGTTATTACTATTCCTTTGTCTCACACCTCTGTTTACTGTCTATATTATGCATTTCTTCTACTTTCTTCTCTTGCTTTGTGGAGTGTGCTACATGGAGTGTGGCGACTTGAACTGCCGCACATATGTGCAAAGTTCTATTTCGAATACAGACAGAGAGACAGAAACAATATCAACTTCGATATTAATTAATCAGTGGTTAGAAAGTGTGAAATTGAGAAGGGTTCATCAGTAAGATTTATCCCAGTGAGTAATAATAATAATAGTAATAACTTTATTCCACATAGTACTTTATGGGACAAATATGGAATATTCAGCATGTAGTAAGTAGTACGCTATTGCATCTAACTTTCTCATTACAGGAGCATTTAAACTGATCATATTGTTCAATAAGAATATGAATACGAAATTAAATTAAGTGGAAATATTAATTAATATATATGTGTAAAACTTGAGCATTGTGGTAGTAAGTAATTCCATAGGAGTTTGTTTATTCGATGTATCACACAATCAGTGAAACAGTATTATACGTACTGGATGACAAAGTTTCGAACACAATTTATTCATTGTTCATAATCATTTCATCAATTATAATCATACCCGACTTCGAAACTTGAGTTTTATAGTTTTCTCTGTTCTCTCATATTTCTCGCCGTAGGGGT